GCAGGAACGGGAGGAAAAGAAACAGGTGGTGCGAGAAAGCGCGCGGAGCGGAGAGGGGTCGGAAAGGGCAAGAAAGTGAGGAGCAGGAGCAGGTGGGGGGTGCAGAAAGAGCGCGCGGTGCGAGGAGGTGTGGAAAGGGCAGTAAAGCGTGCTTCCCCTCTCTTGGTGACGGAGAAAATGCAGCGCAAAGGCTTTGTATCCGGGTGGTGCTGAGGGGAAGCACGCGCAGTGTCACAAAGTGGCAGTTGTGTGACGTCATCTGTCTCCATACAAAACTGTCCTAGGCACCACCCGAACTGAGGGCACCACCCATGCACCCTATAAAGCTACCACATTTAAACGGATTTTGCAGAATGGCCAAACACGTAACCAATCTTTTATTAAGCGTACGGGTGCGTCGGTATCGTCACCGACAGCTTACTCTTAACCAGTGGCGTACCAACTTGTTTTTGAGGGGGGGGGGGGGGCAAACCAGACACCCCCCCCCCCCCCCCACCCACCACCCCCCAGTGCTAGGGGCGGTGCCCATGGTATCCCTTGGGCCCCGCCGGCCAGTGTTTGCCCTGCCCAGTGGCGGCTGTTTCAGGGGGAGCAAAACACATGCCTTGCCCCCCCACTCTGAGAACTAGGGGGAGGGGGGGCGGGGGGGGGGGAGGCAAGCGCCCCCCTTGCTCCCCCGGTTGGTACGCCCATGCTCATAGCCTTTGAGTGGCTATAATATCGTTACGATGCATTCACGTCGTTAGCATACCGTGCCCTCTAGACGTGTATAACCGAAATGATACGAGAATATTTTTAAGCGATAGGTCATGTAAGGGGGAATGCTATTTTCAACGTATCCAAGCGTCCCCAACGCCCCGTGCAGTATTGCTTTCGCTGCAAGTGCAAATTTGTCACTTCTCTTTCTTTCTTTTTTTTTTTTTTTACTTCTCGTTTTAGATAAAGATGCCCGCTAACCTCAGTGTAAGGCTCAAACTATCTCCAACACTAATCAGTAACATGTTTTTTAACGTCTACTAGTCTCGCTTTTCGTGCGGCTTGGTCTCCGATTAGATATTAAGTATGGTCTTCTATTTTTACTTGCGTTTTTTTATTCTATGTTGTGTTCTTTCGTTGTCTCAATATTTCTGATTGGTAGTGCGGGAAACGCGCGTCGGAATTATAGACAATACCATCAGGAGCACTTTGAACAGCTCTCGTGATGGCCACCTTTGAGAGCAATACCGCCCTAGTGGAACCTTTTCTTCCTATTCCCGCATTGAGCGTGCAAAAACAAGCGCGTTGGCCGGTTTACAATTTATAAGAAATATGACGTGCTTACCGCAAAGTCCTTGCGAGAGCCAATCGCCGCAAGGTCCGGAGGGAACCCGCCGATTGACGGAACTAAATTTACGTTGAGACCTCAAAAAAAAGAAAGAAAAATAATCTGCGTTTTGACACTGAGCAGGACGCTCAGCATAGTTTTTATTTTTGATGTTTTATGTTTTGATGGAAACACTTTTTTTTCTTTTCTTGTTTCTTTTTTTAATACTGCACACTGCTAGTTCAATGCCTTCTTCGCTAGGTGTTTCACGAGTTCGGTGGAGATTAGTTGAGCGAATAATCGTCACAGTAAGTTGGCTGATTAACTTTAATATGTTCATTGACTTTTTTTATCATTTTGGTTTTACGGGTAAATTTTGAACTGCAGAATTGACGGCAATTTCCATTAGAGGCGAGACCAATTAAAATAATTTGCGAAAGTTTCTGAGTTTTCGCGATATTAATTAATACAATGTAACGTTGTTTTTTTTAGTATGAATTTAAAATTGCGTTGAAAAATCCCATCGCAATCCCTGTCCACAATAACGCTCACAGAAAGCGACGAAGTCACTCTTCTGAGTGTCATTGTGGGCAGCGCTTGTAGCGCGAAAAGATGTTTATTAAATAATTTCTCAAAAACTAACTTTTTTGTCTACGCAGAAACGTAACAAAATTATTCTATCTTTTTTTTTTTTTTACGGTTTTATCTTAATACACGCAAGAAAGAAAACAAAAACACACCTAGGAGCGCGAAACATATCGAAGTATTTTTTTTTTCTGAAATCATAGAAAGAATTGTAAGAAGTAACGTAACGCGTGTTTTTTCCGTTACTCGAAATAAATAATGTTCGTACGTAATCCCACTTGTACTCGGAGCTAGCAGCGTGTAGGTGCGTTACCGAAAAAAGAAGTAACGCGCTACCGGTAACGCCGTTCGGTGTAACGCGTTCCCGCCGCCTCTGCGTTAGGGCCTTCGCGTCTCGATAAGGAATCTTTTTTTGTCTGACGGGTTAAGCATACAAGTCGCTCGGTGGCCGCTCCAGATTAGCGTCGGTCAGCTCGCTGGTTTATCGGCCGCAGCAGCTACAGGTACAGCTTTTTCTCGCGTCGCGTCAAACCGCTTGCGGACCTCGTAACAGCAGCGTCGCTCTTCCATTCGTATCAGCGTCTGATGGCTGCGCTAAGGCGTGAAGCCGCCGAATATACCCGCGGAAGTGGTATACTTGCCTTCCCCCTTTTTTTTTGTCCTTGTGTGTTTTGATTCTCTCTTGTTTTTAGCCTCCTTGTTGTTGGTGGTTTTTATTTCATGGTGTTTTTTTAATCAATTCCCAACTCGCTTTTTTTTTAACGGGTGTATTAGAGGGGGGGGGGGGGGGGTTGCAACTGTCGCGCTTCTAGCGGTTAAGTTCAGGACTAAAACCACGAACTAAACGACACGAATCGCGACTTTTTGTTTGCGTTCACGACAGAGCCCTTGTCTGACGTGTACCTGAACGCAGCGTCAGCGTTAGGGCTGGAGTCTTCAATCAATCAATCAGGCGCAGATTGAACACGACTCCCAGTCGAACGCTGAAGCGGCACTCGCGTCCATGATCTGTGGCCACGCTGGTCGAAGAAGACGGCGTAAAACATCCAGTGAGCATTGAACTTTGAGGCAAACAAGCGGGATAAAGCACTCTCTTTAGTTCAATCTCTTTGTCACATAGCAGAGACAAGTCCCATGCGCGTTTACATCATTTTATTTGTTCTATAGCCGCATATAAGACTATGGCCGAGTAAAAGGCAATGTGTTTCTGGCACTATTGAGGTTCGACCTTGGTATGTTGAATGGACGGGACGGGTTTACCACGATTGATCGAACGCCATGTCATCGTAACATGATTTTAGAGAACGGGCACTTTTATCGAATTCGCTAAAAAGAGACTCGTCGCCATTTTCTGTACGCTGGGTTCCTTTATAAAGGAATTCGATAAACTTGGATCGGTAAAACGGCGTCGTTCGCTAAAACGAGCTTCTCGAAACCGCATGCCACCGAAGTCGAAAAATTGGCAGATTTCGTCGTGTAGTGCGGTGTTAGGTGCGCGTTAAAGAATTTTCTGAGTTTGCCATCGTCATCTTTAAACGGAAAGGGGACACAAACCGAACACCTCTAATCGCTGGGGCGAGACCCGGCCACTTCCGGGAAAATTAAATAACGGCTCAACGTTTTCGTTTTTAAGATTTTACTGCTTGCAGAATTCTTAAGAGCTACCTGTCTTCGCAGTATACTTATCTCCCAAAAAATATGAAACCCTTAAGCATCTTCTTTTTTTTTTACTTATTTGACCACAAGCTTAATGACCCGTAAGATGTTATACGACGTACTAATTGTTTTTTTAATACAAAATTTACTTGCAAAAAAAAACTGAAAAAACGCGGTTCGTTACCTGACCGTTACAAAAAGGCAAAGTCATAAAAAAAAAGTAAAATTACCTTCCTTACGGTCTTTCCCTTCAGAGATAAGAAGAACGTTAGCCGAGAGATATAATTTGCTTCGCGACGCTTATTTAGTTTTTATTATATAGAATTTTTTTTCACCGTCTTGTCTGTCTACATTTGACTTTTCTTTTTTTTTCTGTTTAATATCTGCGGCTTTTGCACACCGCGTCCTTGTCTTCTTTATTTTAGGTTTCTCTTTCTAAACCGAAAAGTAACGTTTTCTTCCTTTTTTTTTTTTTTTCTACTTAGAAACTTACCGTCTCCTTCGTCGCTTTTTTTTTTTTTAACTCTTAAAGATCAATTTGCTTTTCATTAACGGTGTCCTTCTAATTACATCGTGGTTTTTAAAACATCTCGTGAGAAAAAGGGAGAGACGGAGGTCGTCGTTAAGGAGATAATGCGCTCAATTAAGGACCCCCCGGGTGGCTCTTAGGCGGGTCCGCGTTTATTAATCCAGTTGTTACGCTTAATCCTCTTACGCTTAGCGAGCTAACGCAGTGTCCCTCGGAGCCTTCTTCCCTCTAAGCTTATGTTCTCGTGACTAGCGTCTTTTTTTTAGAGCATGTCTTCCTAAGCCGCTTTGCTTCCTAAGTCGTTATGAATGAAAGAAAGCTAAAAAAAACAAGCACCTTGTACGTGGACGTTAGCATTGCGTTTTTAAACAAATAGACGCATCTGGCAATGGGCGCTCTTATGTTTAGCGAAATTAACGTCTTAATTACAGCGGACGTGTATCACCGCGTTATAAATTTTATTTTACTTGAAGTCGCAGATAGTAGCATTTATAAAAGTGGGTACCGATACTCTTCGCGTGATTTTAACGGCGTACTTCTTCTTAGTTAGAATATTCTGCATGTAACATGTTTTAATTTTAACCAAAACAAATTGATGGGTTTTTGTTATGTTTGTAAAACATATCGGAAACAACTTCACCTGTGTCACCACGATCGCATTAATAATTCAGTCTACAAAAATGTGTCCTACAATTTGTTGTTAGAACTCTCCGGAGGTCTAACACCAAATGGTGTCTTTGGAGGTTTATTGTTCTATGTCCTCAAAAAGTGTTTTTGTCGTTTCGAGTACTTGATAACATGGATCAATCTTAACCGATCTTCTATATCGCTCAATGAACGGAGTTTTGTTTTTCTACACCCACAATATATGTGTACGATGATGGGTGCATGCGTGCTCACACATCTTTATGTTTCCTCTTTCGGCAGGGAGTTCTACTACATCCAGATGGAGAAGTACGCCCGTCAGTCAGTCAGCGAAGGAGTCAAGAACGTTGAGGAGTTGAAAGTGAGCGCAGACTCGGAACTCCTCAGGGTCCTCAATCTCCATTACAACAGGAACAACCACATCGAGGTAAGCAACGTCCTATAAATAGAAACCTCAGGGGGCCAGATATTACCGCACGTGTCATGTTCGCTTGTCAACATGACACATGCAAAAGTCTGTGGCCCCGGTCTCCTATAGCCAACATGGCTCACGCGAAAGTATTGTGGCATCTCTTCTCGTCATCGGGAACAGCAGTTACGATACTAGTTTCGTCGGTGCCCAAAGGAAGAACTGTAGAATTGGCCATTGAATGTTGTCGTTAACAAGAAAACTATTAGGGAAATCGTAAAAGCACGAGGACATAGAAAGACAGTCGTCTTTTTTTTTTTCTGTTGTATCATCACTTAGTTTCTCAGTCCAGAGGTATGTAAATCAGCGCGCTTGCGGGTGTAGTCAGCCACATACTAAAAATCGTACCATTAGTGTGCAAAATCCTCGAACCAGGTTTAGCTTACAACATCACAGGTATTAATCTTCGTCACAAATACCGAATAATCTTAGTCAACAAGCGAGGAATTAAACGGTGTTCATCTTGGCTATTGACACAAGAGGTTACAAGGTCGTTGTTGCCATCCTCGCTTGTTCCCAGTCCTCTTCCTTCGTCATGCCAACCCTATCCCTGGTTCTTGCCCTCCGCAGGTGCCCGAGAACTTCCGCTACGTGGTGGAACAGACTCTACGCGAGTTTTTCCGCGCCATCGTTGCCGGCAAGGACCAGGAGCAGTCGTGGAAGAAGGCCATCTACAAGGTTATCGCCCGTCTGGACGACAACGTGCCCGAGTACTTCAAGTCTCCAAACTTCCTCGAGCAGCTCGAGTGACGCCGAGCCCCTGCCTTGGACCTGCTGGCTCTCCAGCCGCCCTGGTGGCGTCTGGCCGCCGCACCCCTCAGGGACCCCTCGGCCTGGTCACGGCCCTGGTGCATCTGAGGGGCTGGTTCGAAGCTCTCTGTCTTCATCGAGGCTGACTTCCACGAGGACTGGACCCGCGAGACTCCTCGAGGGCCGCCGTCGGGACTGCGCTGGTGATCTGCGACCACGCTGAGCCTGCGGCGCGCCACCAGGACGCTCCTGGAAGGCGCCACGGTCTAGGACGGGACGCTGCGTGCCAGCCGGACCTCGCTTAGACCGCTCCCGCCAGCTGGCCATTTCCCAGATGACTGCGCCACTCCTTCCGAAACCTGGAAGGACGAAGACTTTGGCGCTTGAACTGGATGACGCGAGCTCCTGGTACCCGCTGCGGATAGTAGCAGAAGACAACAGATGTCGACGAGAAGGTGGTCGCGTACCGTGGCACAGTGCTAGTTCAGCTACTGTACATCGTGGGAGGTCAACCTGAGTTGATCTGGGTTCGCAAGTGGATGATGTACGCGTTCTGAACCACGGAGGTTATGGCACGCGACATCATCTCGAAACCCTCGATGCGACGGTTTGGTCCACACTGGTGCTGGAACGCCGTGGACTCGACCGCATCGAGGATGCTCTGGCCGGTGTCCACGCAGCGAGTGACGGTGCAGCAACTGCATCGGTGTCACAGCATGAGGAACCGCACCAGGACCCGCGTTGACTGACTTCCTGGATGTGCTTGTGGACAGCCGTGTGCAGACGGGGCCCAGACGGATGAACTGGAGTGCACAAAGAATGGCTGCTGACCGTGAGAGGAGGTAGGATCTGTATGACAACGTTGCTGCACAAATTTGTTCCCTGTTGTTCCGAACTGTACGCTCGGGACGCGCAACAACCCATGAATCTTGTACATAGACCGACGCGTTGATTTTCGCAAAGCGACTTTGATGGCATGCGCTATTATTATTATTATTATTTTATCATTATTATATTATTAATATTATTATTATACACAGGCAGCATTCCACCAAAAAGAAAGATTTTTTTGTTTGTTTTATATATACATATACCTATAAATATATACCATACGATTCATACATATCTCGAAGGATAGAGCCTGCGACTGTCATTCGAGCTCGACAAGCCGAAACGAGAGAGCGGCGCATGGAGGAAGCAAATTTCGGCGTGTAAACTCTTTCCGAGGAAACCCGTGATAATAGCTGATCGTTTGCTAGATCGCAAACCATTCCAAAGAGCGCTCGAAGACTATCTTCCTCGCAAAAGGTAGAGCTTTAAAAAGAAAACCACTCGGAAAGGGTTTTGTAAAACGTCACACACCGTCGAGACGAAGACCGAGAGATCAAGACGAAATGTTCAAAGCAAACACGAGACCTAAACCGTCTCGAGTGACGCGCGAGTCAAACGCAAGAGAACGAACGGCTTCGACTTCCTACCGATACATTGTCACTGTCATCTATTCTTCCATATATCTCACTCTCACTCTCTTCCTTGGGTGTTTAATCTTTTTTTTTTTTTTTTCTGAGCACACGCACGAAACCCGGTTGAACCGCTTTTTGGCGGCCCGCGTTATGCCTAATCATATTCGTAGTGTTTGTGTGATGATGATTATGAGTGAGTTAATGGAACCTTACTTCCGTGGAATCGGATGAGTGAATGAAACCCTAGTCGGCAGGGTTGGCTGGACGATGCACCTGGTGCTTCTCGCTCTAACACAACCCGCTGTCTCCCGCAGAATCACCCTTCACTTTCTGTCACCTAAGAGGAACTGTATGCGCTGTGTCAAAAAGGGAGAGACTCGTTTCGGGGTGTGCACGCGTCACGTGCGTGATGGTGAACATTCGTGTGTGAATATAGTTTCGCATAGATTCGTCTAATTTCCTCGTTAAATCGGTTAGTTAGCGCCGTTTAAACTATATGTTGACTTAGTCGTCGTGTCTTACATATGTAAAGTTACACTAGGAAACAATAATTATTTAAAACCTATTTTTTATCATTATTAGACAAGAAACCATATCCGGTCATAAATTAAAGGGACAGGTATTAATACACAAAACGTCAATTAAAAAAAAGACTGTGTTTGCTCTTTATTTACTTTTCACACTAAGAACAATAGTTCTTAGGGCTTCATTTCAAAAATGGTACCGGTATAGGTATTTAAATACCAGTTCGAACGCATTCCAATCGGAGAACCTTTCTAGAAACATCGAGGTTTTGAGTTTGCTAAAATTTGAGCCATCTGTCACCTGACTCCTTCATTCGTGGCTGCCAGGTTAATAATGTTTTTTTCGTGGCACTTATTAGACAAAATTACATAGCATGCAACTTTTTTCGGAAGATCGTTCCCAAATTTTAGCCCAAAACCTTCAACGACATGTTCAGTTCACGAAAGCTGTACGAGTCATGGAACGTTTAGAAAGGTTCTACGATAAGGCAAACAAAACTATAAAACGTTTATATAATGGCATATTAATTATAGTAGTGCCTAACGCAAAATTTAGGTTCTGGACACGACAAGCCGAGGCATGTGATAAAACCTACAACCTCGAAATGTTGCATTACGGTTTGGCAACGTGGGGGAACTGCGCGTTTCCCGCACGCGGCGCAGTTTGCCCGAACACAACATCGCCCCAATTTTTTCCTTATTTTGCTCACACCGGTTGGCGATGAAAATAAAATGCTCCCGCGTAATTTGGTGCTGCACATGAGCACATTCCACAGGGCTAGGCAGCTTTTAGTGCGTCCTTCGAGCTGCAAGGTAAATACGAAAGGAACAAAACGGCCTATCGCGGGTTCGTATAAACTGAATCACCTTATGTAAAGCAAATTCAACAGAATCGAGTTTAAAACAATGTATGAAATCACGGAATGGCTATGTATGATATCACGGAGCAACTATGATATATTATTACTTTTTGGTAATATTGCGGCAGGAGGTACCACTCAGCGGAAATGACGTAAAGGAGGGAAACGGGGGATTTGCGGCTACACAGACGATGACGATGATAATGAGGAGCTGTGAAGAATGGCGCCGCCTGGCGGCCAAAGTAGTAAACAGAGTAGTGGGGATAAGATGCATAAGGTCAAGGTTGCGACTAGCTAATGCAAACATGCGTATTTATTATATTTAATTTTTTTTACACAAACAGTTTTTTTAAGAAAACAGTGAAATTTTGAAGCGCTTTGACATGGCGGCGGAGCGGCGTACAGCCGCGGAATGACTAACGAGCACTCCCTCTTTGACTGAGCTGCTGTTCCCTATTAAATTCAGTCTGATATATATATATATATATATATATATATATATATATATATCACCTTTACGCCACCTTCTTTCGAACACCTCAGACATCTTCGTTTGACGTCGTTTTTGAATGCTAGTCAGTGGTATTAAAACGCAAAACAAGAACGCAAAAAAAAGTTTTATAATCACGTGAGGAGCTTGCTGATGCCCTTTGGCTTCTTTTTAACTAATGTCGCGATATCTTTTCTAGTTGTCAAGGTTTTTTGCGGGGTTTTTTTTTTGCGCGCACTTGCAGTTTGGTCTTTACGAATACGACGAGGATATAGGACAACTCTAGTTTTCGTAACCGCTTTGTACGTGTAATCTCTGTTTTCGTTTTTACGAGAGCTAGCTGCTGCTCGGCTCGTTTTCTACTTTTTTTTTTTTTCTGTGCACCGAGGCACGCAGGCGACAGAGATGACTGTCTCTACTGTCGCTGCCAAGTTATTTTTATTCTTTTCGCTTTTTTTTCCGTCGCCGTAGTTTCCCCGAATCGGGCTCGTTGAGAAAAACAAAGTGATCGTGGAAGCGAAGGAAGGAGAACACCTGTGATCTCGGCGCTCTATCCTCTACCCACTCAACTTCGTATGTTCCAGAGCAATTACCTTTCTTTTGCTTGCTCTTTTTTTTCGTTATACGACTTTAAGAGCAACAAAACATAAAAAAAAGCGAACCTCTATCTGGCACTCTCGTACCGCCGTTTCAAATTCGCCGATCTGCTTGTGACCGTTAGAACTCGACGTCAACCGTTAATCACACACACGCAAAAGACAACACGAAGGGTGGAAAAAAAATAAAATAAGACAGGTTAAAGCAGCAGTAAAACTCGTCGTTCTCGATTGTTGGTTGATTCCACGTACGTCTCATTGGAATCCAACCCCCCCCCCTTTTTTTTTCAAAAGAAAAGAAAGAAAATAGAACAGATAAAAGACAAAAAGAAATAAACAAACAAAAAACGAGAAGAGGGTGTACATCGTGTTTGCAGCGTTTCATGAGCGGCCGCTTTTTTCTCGTTTCCAGACTCAAAAATGCCCGCATACTGCGGTCACTGAAAGGATGAGAACGACAAAGCGTCCCTTTCGAATATCGGGCCTCTAGCATGCGCTTTTCGCCTTCCGTCGTGCGTTGAGTGCGCGTGCCCGCTCGAGGATCGCGATGCGCCGAAGCGTTGTGGAAGCTAGGAAGCTAGCGCCGGAGGCGGAACAGCTGAAGGACCTCTCTGGCGTTCTCACCCTACCAGCGACTATAGTCACGTCCCGATGGAACCTCAAAGTTTCTCGTCATGCTAACTGGCGCCGTGTCGTTAGACTTTAAGCCCACCAGGTCTCGAACCGACGCTTCGACTTAATCGTAGCCTGCGCAACTGAAATAACTATAAATAGCTAAATAATGTTTCACCCCTTCTTTAAAATGTCACCCGAATTGAACGTTTATTTGATTTTATTCTATTTTTCACACGATACCTCGATTTTACCTCCGATTTTCGCGGCATTCATTTTTCACAAAAAAACTTGAGTTAAAAAAATTTTCCGGATTCTTTTTCTTTTTTTTTCAACTTTCGAACAACAGGAGAAACTAATGCCTCTTCAGTCACGCCGCACCATTTACTCGAACCACAGCGTTTGGTAATCCATCGCCGCTAAACCAACGATCCCTCAAGGGTCGATAGGTACACAGTCGCATGTTCTCGCGGCACGTATCTATACCTCTGCTTTGAAAATGGCGGCGCCACGATTCCCAAAGACCCCATCCGTCGCCGCCGTCGCCATGCAAAGTAGCATCGCACACCGCGCCGTAACAGGAGATCCCTTTTCCGTCGTCCTTTTGGTTTTTAGCTCAGCGCTCGCTGCTACACCTCGTTTCACCTTTTCGATGGACCGTAGGGGAGGCACCACAGCCAATCGCAGCGCTGTGAATCTACTACGTCATTACGAGACCCGCGCATCGCTGTGCCCTTCCCACAGGTCACGTGACACCCATACGGCATTGGATTGGTCTAGCTTGTTCGCAGCGTCCACTGCGGTCCATCGTAAAGTGAAACGGAGTACAGTCCCGTTTCTTTGTGTTATTAGTATAAGTAATGGTAGTAGTCGTAGTTTTACGAATATTGTTCTCTCCTTCCGTTCTCGCCTTTCTTTGTAGTTAGGTTTTATTATGTCTCGTTTCGAACGCTTCGACCGGCGAGGAAGCTCCGACTGCGATCCGGTGGCGAAGCTCGGCGGAGTTCAAGACAAAACAGCACCGCAGTCTAGTCATCTCAAATTGTGTCGTGTTGTGTCTTCGTGCTGCCCACGAGGCTGTCTTTCGTTTCAACACTTCCTGCTTGCCTCCTCCCCCTCTTTTTTTTTCTTTCCTTCGTTATTGGGTTTGCGTACTTCTTGTTTTGTTCTAAACTCGCTCAGAACGTCCGGCGTGTCAGATTTGCCTTTTGGAAGCCGCGGCGCCGCGTAACCTTATCGTTAGTTGTTCGTCCTTCCTTCCGGAGAGACGCGGAATTTCAGCGTGTCGTTGAGAACTACTGCTTCTCGACACACATGGAGTCACTAAATGGAGCAATACCTAGAGTATCGGCAGTCCGTTTCCCGAATATCTCGAGGGTGCCGCCATTTTTGGCGTCATTACTGCAGGGCGGGCGCGATTGGCGATAGCAGTGATTCCAAAAAAGGGACTTTCGGAGCTTTAGGCTTGGTGTCGGGAACATGAGACAATGACGCCTATGCTTTAACATGT